CTATTGTCAGTAGTAAGTAGCCGAGATTGGCGATTTTTTTACAGGAATTCCCCCCTTCCCCCTCTTTTTCCAGGAAGTGCACGTGCACGTCCCCCCTTTCCCCCTCGGCGGCATACCTTTTGAAGAGGACGTCGGCGCGCTGGGGGGGCCCCCTAGGGTGCAGGGCCTCAAAGTTGGGGTCCGAGGGTCACAGGAAGTGGGTGGTAGGTGGAAAATGACTGGCAAATGGAAAATGGGTGGCGGGTGGAAAAGGGGTGGTGGGTGGAAATGGGATAGTGGGTGGAAAATGGCGTGGTGGTGATAAGAAATAACTATATAACGCACAATTTATAGGATTACATAAATGATTTATTCAGAAATTATTCTTTTTATCTAGGATACATAATTATCTTAATTATAAAGGATGCTGATGATTATTATTATTATCAATATTATTATTATTATTATTATTATTATTATTATTATTATTATTGTTATTATTATTATTATTATTATTATCCTCGTGAATGAGATCGCTGGATGATCCTCGAGGGCTCCGACTTCCCCTCGAAGACCACCCAGCAAGCTAAGCGATACAAACAAGTCCTAATCGCTCTGCAGTAGTGCTCCCTCCAACCAGAGGGTGAGCACTACTGCAGTCCAGAATCATGATGTCTAAGTAGTCGAAGGGACCCAACAATGACAGCCTTTTGCATCTGGCCAGCCAGTATTAAGGCATTGCGCCTGTAGGCTGGAATCACCTCAAGCGCAGATATAAAAGACTGTTTCATGCCGCCAAGAGAGCCAATGATCAGGACGATCAGCCTGACCCTAAATCCGCGGTTCAACTGACGCAGCTCAAACAGGAGCAGCTGGTATTTGAGCCGTTTCTCCTCTTCCTTCGCAGATACATTGCTCTCGGCTGGCGCCGACAACTCAATCACGTAAATGACTTTGTCTTCAAAGTCGAAGAGGACGATATCAGGCTTCGTCGCAGCGACGGGCCGCAGATGGTAATACAACACTCTCAAAGCCGCGTTATGACGGTGGATATAACTCGTCACTGCATATGTCGGGCAATCCGACAAAAGATGCATCAGAGTTTCCGGGGACTGTTTGCAAGCCCGACACCTAACATCCGGAACTTGCAATCCCATAACACGGCTCCTATAGACCAGGTTGTTTATCACGCCATCCTGATACGCCCAAATGAAGCCCTCGGTTTCGGACATCAAGCCAGCTGACTTCAAAAATGAGAAAGTCAGCTGGACGGACAAGCCCTGTTCTTCCACATGACGAAAGAACACACCATGCATGGGCCTGTCAACGTGTAGACGAAGCAGGGTTAGGTACAATTCGTCGAAATACCATTGGTCGAATGACACTTTGTCGAATACCAATTCGTCGAAAATCGATTCGTCGAAAAGTACGATTCGTCGAAAAACCAATTGGCCTAAAAAACAATCAGTCGAATGGGACGATTGGTCGAAAAACCAATAATTTTCAAAACAATGAGTTTCTTGATGATTATGCAGAAAAAACAAAAACTATTGATGTTTCAATTGAATCTTTACATTTACCAAACACATCAGTATCTTCATTACAACTACACACACACACCTCACAGAATAAACAGCAACACATTCGCACCCAAATAGTAATGATAACATCAATTAGAGAATGAAAGCAAAACCGAAAACGTAAACAGATCCTTGCGAATACGACAGTTCAGTTCACGTGCGCCTCTCGAACAACTCGGTAAAAATTATGAATGAAAATTCAACTTACCAACAGTACATCCAATAAAAACAGAACGTGCCAGTGAACTAATTTAACTAACAAACTACTTAAAACAACTACGGACAATGATAGAAAGTTGAAAAAAATGACAGAAAACGATGAACCCTTTGAGTTTGTGCCTTCCGAACGAGGACACGATAAACTAGTGATCCATGGATGTTTACATACACTCAACAAAACAGTTGTGCGCGGAAATGGTGACCAATTTAAATACTGGAGATGTGAAGACAGAACATGCAATGCAACTGCAACTACGATATCTAATGGCAATGGACACAAACTACAAAAATTCAAACATCATTTCCACTCCGCAGAAGCGTCTCGTGCCCCTCTGGCAAAAGTTAAACAAGCCATGAAGAGAAAAGCTGCTGACACTGGTGAATCCACTTGTAAAATTATCCAAGATACAATTGCAACTACAGACCCAAACATACGCCCATATCTCCCTAACACGAATGCACTAAAACAAACAGTGAAGAGGGCGTGAAAGGGCAAGGACGTCGAGCCCCAAACATTAGATGAGTTGCTTATCCCAAATGAATACAAGCACACACTCAGTAATGAACTTTTCTTAATAATAGAAATGGATATCAGTAATAACAAAGTGTTGATCTTCTCAACAGTTGCTAACTTGAATAAACTGAGTCAAGCCACGTACTGGATCATGGACGGGACCTTCGATGTTGTACCCAATATGTTTCTCCAATTATATTCAATTCATGCACCTGTGGGCCCACCCGAACGTAGTAGGACTCTTCCGCTTGTGTACACGCTCATGTCAAGTAAGTCGAAAGAATGTTATAATGCTTTCTTTGGAGGATTAATCGAATACGCAGAAGCCAATGACATTGACCTCAGTCCAAATCATATTATTACGGATTTGGAACTAGCACCAATCATTGTCACGGACTCTCATTTCCCAGAAGCTCGGAATGGCGCTTGACTTTTTCACCTGGGCCAATGTGTTTATAGGAAACTACAGTCGAATAAATTAGTCAAGGAATATGGTACGAATGAAAACTTCAGCATTGCTATTCGACAAATTACTTCTTTGGCATTTCTCACTGCAACGGAAATTCCTCCAGCATGGGATAAATTAAAGGAAAAAATTCCCGAGAAAGCAAAGCCTATCGTCGATTGGTTCGATGACAACTACGTACACGGCAAAGTGATCCGTTTACTTCGCGGTAAACTAAAACGATCAGCACCAAAATTTCCACCGAGTCTGTGGTCTGTACATGATCCAATGGAGGAAAACCTTCCAAGAACCCAAAATAAAATTGAGGCTTGGCACCGACAATTGCGTTCCCTCGTTGGGCACTTACAGGCAAATGTGTATACCCTAATCAACGAGCTGAAAAAAGAGCAAAAAACGGTGGAAGGGGAAATTGAATGCATAAATCGTGGGGAAGGACGACCGAAGATGAAGAGAGCAGACGCAGTGACAGAGAAACGTATCAGACAAATATTCCAAGAACGTGAACACTACAATGACGTACTCGACTGGATTCGAGGCTTGGCACACAACATCAAAATTGGGTAAAAGTCTTAGATGAATGACAATAACACAAACGGAACGATCAATAATCTAACGAAGTTGATCGATATTTGAAGAAAAGAAAAGAGTGAATAGTTAAACCATATTTATGTTGAAACGTCTTTAATCGTTCAAATCATTAGACTCTATACACATATATAAACCTATTTAAATCATTTTTCTCGCTGACAAATTGTAGATATTTGATAAATCGTGTGACACAAAATACCAAATTCAATGTACATAGAACTCTTGCATGCAACCTTGTGTACTCGTTTCTTATTGGAGAACTGTTCGTAAAAGTTGACTCATAAAAAAATGTAGAATTAAATTAAATTCTTCCAATTAAATTAAACTATTGTCTTCGTATTGTTCGTATTGTGAATTAAATATTATTATCAGTCGACTTTCCTTTGTTAAAACATTATTCAGCACATTTGTTGGATAACATTAACGCGGTTGACTCGAAAAATTGAAAATTACGAGGACCGATCCCTTGGGGTCGTAAATCCCAGGAATGCCAGAAGTGCAGCTCGCCAATGAGTATCCAACGATTGAGTTGGGCACGTAAACCGTCTCAATGTATGTTGAGAGAAAATCAAAGTTCAGGGCGTTTCAAATGAAAAAGAACACTTTCACTAAAACACCTTAATTTTAATTACACAAAAAGAAGTTCAATGATGACACCAATGTTTTTACAAGAGAGAATTTCACAGAGTTGACATTGTCTATTGAAAATTAATGAATATTGTTCTTGAGACTTAAATAGTAGAAATGAAATTGCACTTTGGAGTTTTTTGAATGATTATTGCACTTCAGAATTTTAGAAAAAAACTGTTGACTAAATTTGAAGATACTTGGATAAACGTGAGAGGCTCAGTGAGAAGAGTGTCTTCACTGGCCCTCGTCTTGAAGGTTACTAAACTTAAAATCTGAGAGAAAATGTAAAGTTCTCTAGTTATTTAGGAAGGGATATGCGAAATCTTATTGGCTAGGTGATATTTGCTAGCTTAAATGTAATTGGTTGAAGAAAGTGGGAGGGCATCTCTCTGAAACCGTTGGGACCGTCCAGAGGTTTTTCCGAAATCTGGCATACCCTTTTTTTTGCTACTGGGGAAAAATAAGGGATGCCAGGATTTCCCAGAGTGGACATTTGGCTTGCACATGTTGGGCCTGAGGTGGACATCCTTCCGACTTTCTTCCAACCCTAAATTTACGACTCGACCGCAATAAAACGGAGTTTTAAATCCGCCGTTTGAGTTTTAGGGGGGCCTGTTCGATAGTAAAACAAAAAAAAAGGGACAGACAAGTCGGAACAGGCTCACGCTCTTTACAACATGAGAAAATGAATTTTTCCCCAGTTCCATGCGAAACAAAATATCGGTCTCTGCACCGAACANTCCTTCTTCATCAAGAAAGACACTCAAATGTTTGAGCTTGTGTTTTTTACCAAGGGAAGAATTTTTTTTGAGTTCCTTGATTTCATCAGAAAATTCTTCAGCTTGGATTGCCTTGATAATTTGATTGTTAGCATTGTCTAACTCTTCAGCAGTCAATGGACCTCGCAATTTTGTTTTGAATCTCAAACACAGGGCCACAATTCTTCTCAATTTGATCAGTGATGAATATCTTGTTAACAAATCATTGTTGACTGAAATTTTCGTTGTCAGACATTGAGTCTTTCTCATCTCTGGTATCTCAGCAGGGATTTTGAGCTCACTAAGGGGCCACTTAGATTCTTCTTCATTGAGCCAGTGTGGTCCATGTTTCCATTGGAGATTCTCGCTGAATTCGCGAGGCATCTGTCCTCGTGAGATATGATCTGCTGGATTTTGATCTGTTCTGACGTGTCGCCATTCAGCTTCCTTTGCTTTTTGCTGTATTCCTGAGACTCGATTTGCCACAAAAACTAACAATTTGTATGGTTCAGTGTTGATCCAATGTAATGCGATCATTGAATCAGACCAGAAGGTCGTACGAGAAATCTCGTGACTGAGAGATTTCTTCACAGCTTCATACAAATCGACGAGTAACAGAGCTGAACAAAGTTCTAGTCGAGGTAAGGATACTTGTTTGATTGGAGCTACTCTGGATTTAGCACAGAGGAGGCTTGTCTGGGAATTCCCTTGATCATCAATGGTTTTGAGATAAATGCAAGCACCGTACGCCTTTTCGCTTGCATCGCAAAACCCATGTAACTGAATTTCTTTTGCATTGGAAATAATTATTTTACGATCAAAAGATTCATCTTTCAGTTGCATTAATTCATCAGTATATGATTTCCATTCTGTTTGAATACTTAATGGCACAGGATCATCCCAATCAATCCGTTCCTTCCATAAATTTTGCATAATTATTTTTCCTCTGATGATAATTGGACCCAGGAGGCCAAGTGGATCGAAAATTTTTGCTAGATCTGATAAAATACTCCTTTTGGTGAGTTTAACCGTCTTCATGACTGGTTTCACTGTATATACAATGGTGTCCTGCTGAGAGTCCCAGTGTACCCCTAGGGCCTTAATAGTGGCATCCTTGTCAGGTTCCAACTGCAGGTTCACGCTGCCTTCAGGTAGATTTTCGAGTAATTGAGGGTGATTAGACGCCCATTGTCGTATATTCAAGCCACCTCTCTTTAAGACAGTCGTAATATCATCACGTAATTTTAAGGCTTCTTCTAATGAATCAGCTCCAGTGAGAAGATCGTCAACATAAAGATCTCTCTTGATGCGAAGAGCTGCTTCGGGATAATCCTTGCCTTCATCCTCTGCCAGTTGAGATAGACAACGTATCACTAAATAAGGGGCAGATGCAAGTCCGAATGTAACTGTGTTCAACTGGAACGTTTTGATTTGATTGTCTGAATTGAACCATAATATCTGTTGAAATTTTCGATCTTCTTCCCTCACCCAGAATTGACGATACATTTTTTCAATATCGGCAGTTAACACAAATTGGTGTGAGCGAAATCGAAGTAAGAGTGAAAAAATGTCATCTTGGATCTTTGGACCAACCATAAGTGAGTCATTCAGTGAGACAGCGGTCTCACTTGTCTTTGCAGATCCATTGAAAACGACTCGTACCTTAGTAGTCAGGCTTGCAGTCTTGATGACCGCGTGGCGTGGCAGGTAGAAACCGTCTCGAGCCTTTGGGTCGTCCTCAACTTCGGACAGGTGTCCTAGGTCGATGTACTCTTGCAGGACCGCTTTATATTGCTGTCCCAACTCGGGGTTTCTTCCGAATTTTCTCTGCAGGCTTCTCAACCGTGATTCCGCAATTGATTTAGTGTTGCATAAAGCTGCTCTTTTCTCATTGAAAGGCAAGGCAACAACGTATCTTCCAGTGCTGTCATGAGTGATATTTTCTTGAAAATGTGCTTCACAGAGTTGCTCTTCTTTGGACAAGTGGCGTTCACTGGGAATTTCTTCTATTTCCCAGAATTTTTGAACATCAAATTGAGACTCTGCAAGAAGGTTGCACTGTACTGCAGGAGATTTATTGTGTGATGGTTTGTCCAGTGGATTTCCACCTAGAATCCATCCTAATTGGGTTTGTTGAAGTATTACATCTGGATCTTTTGGATCATTCAATCGTATCTGGCCTTGACAAAGCATGGATAAAGTAGTTCCAACGCTTATCAAAATGTCGACTGGAGCTGGACGATCAAATAGTGGATCGGCCAACCTAATGTTTCGAGGGATTTGCAAATTAGTCCTGTCCACTGGTTCCATTGGAAACAATCCTCCAATATTCTTTACTGTCAGGAAATTCAAGGATTTGGTAAAAGAGGTGAATCTTGATTGAATTGTGGTGCTCACGAGAGAGTTTGCTGCGGTAGTCGCGTCGTTCAATCCTTCGATTCTCATTGCGAGTTTTTCGCGTGAGAGCCTCAATTTATTGGCTAGTGCTTCTGTCATAAAGTTTGAGCCAGCAGCAGTATCTAAAATAGCTCGACATTGGATCGGCTTCTGTTGAGAGTCCATGATATTCACCACAGCAGTAATTATGCATTCTCGAGATGGCAAAGTGGCCACCATGGCGATAGTTTTTGATTGATGTGCAGCTCTCATCATTTTTGTTTCCTCTTCATTTAAATGTAGAATATTGTGATGTTTTTTCTGGCACGTGGAGCAGGTAGACGCCTTGCACACCCTAGTTTTATGACTCTTCTGGAAACAGTTAAGACACAGTTGGGCAGTACGGGCGGCCTGAATCCTGTCCAGAGGGGGGAGAGCGAGTACCTTCTCGCAGGTAGCGAAAGTGTGTTGACCCTTGCAATGAGGGCAACTGTTGCTAGTAGCGTTCGTTAATAGAGTTTGGGTACGATTTTTATTGTCTCTAGCGTGTTTGGGTTTTACATTCATTGATGAGCTGGGGGATGTGGAAGAGGCACTGAGAGGATTAACAGAAATTGTCCTGGTGGCTTCTTCTCTCAAAAATGTCAAGAGAGCCTCATATTTGGGCATCTCTCTCCCTTGCATTTTTCTATTCCACTCCCTGCTGGTCTCCTTGTCTAATCGTCTCAAGATGATGTGTACTAATGGGGTGTTCCATTGTTCTACGTTCTCTCCCAGAGCCTTTAATGCTAGGACCTGGCTTTGAATGCTGTTGGTTAATTTTTTCATCTCCTCAGGTGTATTTCTCTTCATGACTGGAGTCTCCATCAGTTGATCATAATGATTTAGAACTAAAGCATACTGAATATCATAGGTATTCTCTAGTAGGGACCAAGCAACAGCGTAATTTTCATCAGTGATTGCGAATGCCTTAATAGTATCGGCAGCCTCACCTTCACAGGTCCGATTTAGATAATCTAACCGTTGAGAATCAGAGAGATTATCATTTCTGTGTATCGTAACCAAAAACCAGTCTCTATAACCTCTCCAATTGGATAATTTTCCATCGAACTTCTTGGCCTCGAGTTTTGGTATCGTCTTCAAAAAATCAAACGAACATGAACGTGACGTGACTGACGGCGACCTGTGGTCTCTGAGGTGTCTGTTCTCTGGTATTGCGTCAGGATGTGCAGTGCGTCCTGGCGACTTAAATTTCTCCACAAGGACTCGAATCGCTTCAAACTGGTCATCTATCTCTTCATGAATGTCAGCGTGATCGACGTTGGGTTCTAGGGTTTGTAACTCACGCAGAATTGCTGGCATGTTTTCCAATTCACATTGGATTATGTTGAAGTTCTTGTCGACGTATGGAATCGATGCGTAAACATTTGAATCTACCAAATACTTGTAGAATTTAGTCATTCTTCCTTTTAACATTCCACGTTCATTGATTAACGCCTTCCGCCTAGCAGCTAGTTCTTCTGGTGTAGTTGTTGGTGCCATTGTGATTGAGAGTTTCGCGATAGGGAGATCACGGGAATTGGGAAGGCGACTGAATGAACGAGCTTACCTTGTTGGTGAATGCCTGGGGGTTGACTCTGCAGGTAGGTGGAGGCAAGTGAAATCCTTGATCTGTCCAGCTCCTGTTGACCACCGGCGTATTCCACGAGATTGAATGCACTAGAGTCTAAAGTCTTAGCACACTCTTACACTTGTGAAGTTTTCTTTTATTTTATTGATGAAATTTTATCAACTTATTGATTTTATTAATTTCACTGAGTAACACTTCATTATGACTGTTTATTATACACGAANGCTCTTTACAACATGAGAAAATGAATTTTTCCCCAGTTCCATGCGAAACAAAATATCGGTCTCTGCACCGAACAACATTGTTTCCGTTCCAATGGAAGAGGAACAAATATTGAAAAGTCACATCAAGACAATGAACTTTAAAAAAATTAACAACTATACAATAAATTGAATTTTCTTCGCAATTTGTAAAGTTTTTTTCGAATGCCCTTTAGAGTAGAAACTTCTAACACCATTTTCAACGAATCGAAAAATTAGACGAAATGAATTTTCGACCAAAAAAACCTTCGACAAATTNCTTTAGAGTAGCAACTTCTATCACCATTTTCGACGAATCGAAAAATTAAACGAAATGAATTTTCGATCAAAAAAACCTTCGACAAATTGATTTTCGACCAAATGAAGCATTCGACAAAAAAAATTCGACAAAAAAATTTTAGACCAATCAACATTCGACGAATCGTACCGGATCCGACGAAGCAAGGTGGACTGTTCCGCCTCCTTGATGGTCGCTCTTCGCCGAGATTTAGTCATGCTGGCCAATGAATGACTAGCCAGCTGACCACCTCGGCCACGACGAAACTCCAACTCGAGAGCCTCAGCTGCGGTATCCGCCGCCTTGTAGAGAAAGGCCTGAATCCCATGAAGCTCATAATCGTGCACAAACTCCAAGAGAGGATCCAAGCCGTTCATCACGTCACAGGCCAAGCCGAGGATCAAGCGTATTATTATTATTATTACTATTATTATTATTATCATTATTATTGATTTATTATTGATTAATGAAGGTGCATAATTTTTTTTTAGTGGAACGCTGATTACAATGAAAAATACCTTTACCAGATCAGCTCTGAAAAGGTTTACTTAAATTTTTACGATTACAATTTCAGTTTTGAGTAATTTTTTTAAACATTTTCCTAATAATGCGATCGTTACGTTTTGTGTCTGGAGGAAATAGTTTATGAACGGATTGTAAAGACCGATCATTAAACAACCAGTGAAACACAGTAGTGCAGTACTGGCCATAAACATCAGACCACATATCTTCAAGTCTTTTCTGGCTCCATTCATATACATGGCACTTTCGCTTAAGGGGTAACGAAACCGACCACAAAAAGACGTGTACCAAAAACAAGTTTTCTTGGATTCTATGCAATGAAACTCAATGAAACTTCTTCCCGTATTGAGAGTAGCGAAACGCATCGTTCTCTGCTCATGCTTTTCTTATTTATGCAAAACAATTGCAAATTATTTAACGGCAAGAACCAGGACAAGGCCGACGCCATTTTATTTGTAGAAATCTGCCAAGTCGTGGTAGAAAAACCGAATTTTTATAGATTTTTCTTAGCCGATGGCTATTTTCATCAGGAGAGGGCGATCGAGTGAGGTCCAAGACAGAGATTGTGAGTACAAAAACGTACTTTTGTTGCGTAATTTTCGTAAAAACTTGTTTATGATGATTGGGTGGTATCCAGGAGGTAACATGTCCTTTACAGGGCACCAATTGTAAGAGGGAAGTACTTTTACGAGTCAGAAGATGATGTAGAATGTTTCCATACCATTATTATTTATTTATATCCATTTATTTATATTTTATGGGCTTTTGTAGTTTTCACATACACAATCCAAAAAACCACGGGAACCTGCAATACCGATAGGGGGACTCCTAACCTCTACATGCGACGGGTTCCGTTACCCCTCAAGGCGCTGAGCGATTCTTGTGTCGAAGGGCGGCATTCCGAAGCTGTCGAAATAGATTCCTCGACCATTTCAACCGAGGTAAACGGCAACCCAGTGGCTTCCTGCTTGGTTGTGGTTATCGGTGTTGATGATGATGGCACAGGGCCGCGACCATGTCCAGGGGACACAGTCAGCAGGATAGACGCCTCCAATTGATGCATCGGTATGCGGTAGTACCTTCAGGAGCTCAAGTGTATTCATAAGACTATGGTGCGCAGGACAATTGTCGTGGCCTTGTGACCCGGCTAGAGAAGGATTATGGTGGGATACCTGCTCGGCTGTTTAAACGCAACTAACGTAATTGTGTGGTGACCCTCTATTAAACAGTTTGGTATTCCTTTTCAGCCACTGTAGTCGACAATAACTTGTGTTGTTGACTCAATTTCCAACAAATTATCGTATTCAGCGTATAACAGACAATTTACATTTTGCTCTGTTGCTTTGTTGAATCGTACTTCAATACGAACACTCCCACTCTACGAGATTCCAATGACCAGCAGAACTTGCAGATAAATCGGGAGTCAGGTCGAAGGCGAATAAATAAAAGCCGTCGGAATATGCTAGACGAGTAATGTTATTTCCATAGTCACTAAAATGCATTCCAGTCCCCGCAAATAAGGTATTAAAAGCTTCCACATCTAGACACCGGTCCGAGACAAAACTCGGTTGCAGGGGTTTCGTAGGTACTCGGCGTCCATCGACAGTCAGGCATAAGAAGTTGGTTCCGAAATTCTGAAAGTTGAAGGGATTCTTCTTCCTCGCTCCATTGACGACAAATCCAAGTATAATTCTTTTAGGCAGTTGGCCTAGAATGCGTTATCTATCGTCTTTCCCATAATTCCATTATGCAGAACAAAAGATTTAACCTCTACACGGGTCAAGGGATATTTTGCAGTTGTCTTTGCAAGCATTTTGGCGTGAGCTATCAATATTCCAGGGCTGACTTTCACGCGTCAAACAATTAATGAAGCCTCCACAATATTTACGTTATAATTAAGTGTAGTATCGTCCATGAGACAATATTCATCCTTTGCGCGGATAAGACGAACACGTATCTCTATACCGTTCACCAAAAATTAATCTTGATTGAAAACGTCACAATGCAAATATCGCAGCAGATCAAACGGTCTTCCACCTTCCGTAAATACGTGTCCAGAGATTAGGCCATTATTTTTTTTCTCATCAGCGCCCACAACTACAGCGGTATCCATAGCGCCAGAGGTATCAGTTGACCATAGAGCCATTCTAAGATGCGAGGACTTGGCATCTTCTCCATAGTTTAGCAACGTTTCAATATATGCTCTAGAGGCGTAGAGGTTATTTGACGACATAACAAATTTTTAATTGAAATATACTTCCACTTGGTTGAACATTGAATACAAAAAATTATTCATAGGACCGACGGAATCCTCAACAGCAGCAGCGCCATCGGGTCTCAAAATTTTCGCTCGAATTTTTATCATAGTGTGCCAAATCGATGTATTCTTCTCCATGGGCTGGTACGATGAATTCGATTGGGGCATCGTCCGATAAAGTAGACATAGGGTTATAATAAACAAATTGAGAATTTTCAATACTTGTCTGCGTCGCGGGTATAGTGAACAGATCGAGCTCCGATTTCACGCACTCGGAAAAGTGTGAATGTAGCAACGACATGATGATTAGTTGAAAATATCGTATAAATCGCGAATCTTTCTCTTGGGATTATTTTTTTCACTTTTTTTTCTTTTTTCTTACTTTTTGGAATATTTCTCTTCTTTTTATTTTTCCTCGTTTTGGATGTCATGGCAGACCCGCATCCAGTGAGCTTATGAGATGCGAGGCGTTTACGCTTTCTTTTATATCCTGATCCACGCATCATGGACCCAATTCTTTCCTGTGCACGCCTTTTTAATTTTAATCCCGACTCCGCTAGCCGATCCTCCAGCGCTATCTTTAAGGGTTTTCCGTTTGTTACTACATCGCCTACAACGTTAATTCCTACGCTGAGATCTTCTTTACCGACTGCTCGAGCTGCAATACCGAGGAAGGGCAGAATTCGATGAAAGAGGCCCCCGAGGAAAACCCCTATTCCATGGCCCCGTTGATATGGGCTCCCAACATAGACCCGTCCGAAATTATTGTATCTCTCCACTGAACCTCCACCAGCCTGGTTCGCGTAATATGCAATGTAAGGACTCATTTTGCTCGTTAATCAATTCTTTTGAAATGAAGTATCACGTTCAAGGATCCGTACTCGAATGGTATCATTTCACCACGATTGCACCTTATATCTATTTCAATTGTGCGGAATGAGTATCTCATCAACGGAATATAATGAGGATTTGAAAAAGTAGCACAGTTTGTGGCTCCATATGTATAACCAGAAGCATTGAATGGTACCACTCGTAAAAGAGATGACTACACATCACCTGTTACATAGGGTACACAAAGGTCACTATAGATGAACAAGCTTTCAGGTAAACCTCTGGCCAGACTGGCAGGTAGATATCCCTTACAATACGGCTTTGCGTTCGTGAAACTGCACGCGTGTCTCAAACCCCAACATATCAGCCAATTTATGCGAAAAGTCTAATGCGTGTACCGTGCTACCGCATGTTTTGGAGGTGCAATGTCTTCCAATTTTCACAAAGCCTTGTTGGGTAGAATACTCAAATTTTATATGATCTTCAAGGGTGCAAAGATATTCATGAAACCCACGAGATCGGTCAGGTCCTTGAAAACCCCAGTAGGTAGAAAAAATGTTTGTGGTAGATTTCCCTTGCCCTTATTGTCTTTTCCGCTACTAACAAAGTTGATGAAGGCATCTTTCCAATCACGTATATGTAAAAAATTACAAGGAAACTGTATTTCACCCAGGCCCACAACCCATTCTCCTTCCAACTCAACTTGTTTTGGGAGCAATATTGTATATTTTGGGAGTTAGATATAAAAACTTCGTTCCTCTTCAT